TATATATGAATGTATGTATGTATATACATACATAGGTGTGTTTATTCTTTCTGAAGTCCACGACCATCTCCTTCTTCTTATTCACACTGATGTGAAGGTTGTTCGTCCTGCACCAGCTCTCCAGGTGTTCCACCTCCTGCCTATAGCTGGACTCATCATTGTTTGTGGTGCAGCCAACTACCACTGTATCGTCTGCAAACTTTACAATATGACAGCATGGATCGTTCGGTACGCAGTCATACGTAGCAGAGTAAACTGGAGGGGGCTCAACACACAGCCCTGGGGGGTTAGGGTTAGGGTTAACATATCTGTTAACATATCTGTTAACATATTGACAGGTGTGCTCTTCACTGATATCACCATCATGGGACTATATAAAAGATTTGTGCACAGCTGAGATTGATTGAGCGACTGATTGAAGACTGATTTGAATAAAGAGAATGAGGTGGCTTTACCTCAAGGTTCAACCAAATACTGAGTAAGTGTGATTTTCTCCAACTTATCCTGCCCTGAAGATGACAGTGCCAACAAGTTATGGGCCCAGGAAGGAGATGGGAAGTCGATGGCAAAGATTGTGCTTTGATGGAGACGAAAGTAACTACAAGTTGTGAGAGACAAAGTTTTTGGGTCACCTACAGCTGCTAGCCTTGAAATATGTCCTACTCGGTAAAGTCAAGCAGAATGCAGATTCCGAGGAAGAAGATGACTCAGAGAAAAATGAGGAAGCCTGTGCCAAACTGATACAGTTTCTGGACGACAAAAGTTTGGCTTTAGTCATGAGAGAGGCAGCAGATGACAGCAGAAAGGTGTTACAGATCCTGCAAGATCATTACGCGGGCAAAGGGAAGCAGTGGGGATTTAGCCTCTGCACAGAACTAACATCCCTTCAGAAAACTGCCAATGAGACTGCCACGGACTACATTATTTGGGCTGAAACTGCCATCACGGCACTTAGAAATGCTGGAGAGAAGCTGAGTGATGGACTATTGATCGCAATGATATTGAAAGGTCTGCCTGAACAATTTAAACCATTTGTACTCCACATAACGCAAAGCATTGATTACAAGCTAACCTTTGGTGAGTTCAAAGTTAAGCTGAGAAGTTATGAAAACACACAGAAGTTTAATGCTAATGTGGATGAAGATAACATGAGGACGGCAAGTGGTTTCCTGAATAAAGTAATGCAGAGACAAAGAAAATCGGCGTTTATGTGCAACAACTGCGGTCAGAAGGGACACAAAGCATGTCAATGTCCGAGGAATTACAAAGGACCGAGACAATGGTGCAGTTTATGTAAAAGTTCAAGTCACAAAGAAAGTTTGTGTCAGCGAAGGAAGACAGAAAGTGTGTAACAAGCAACTGATGACGTGGATGAACGCTCGATTGTTTTCAAGATGAACGAATGCCAGATCAGTGGATTAAAACAGAGAGGGCTAATGGTGGACACCAGTGCGACTTCTCACATAATCAATGATTTGAAGAAGTTCAGATGCTTCAACAAGGCTTTTCAATCAGAGGAACACTTCATGGAGCTCGCTGATGTGATCAGGATGAGCGGTGTGGCACTAAAGAGAGGCAATGCAGAGGTTTGGCTGTCAGAAAGAGAGGGACAGACCGTGAAGGTGGAGATAACACGGGCACTGTACATTCCCACGTACCCACAGAGCATCATCTCTGTTAAAGCAGCAACATCTAAGGGAGTTTCGGTCAACTTCAAACAAAGACATGATCAACTGATCTGTAAGGATGGTACCAGGTTTGATAGCAGACTTTATTTTCTTGACATTTTTGATGAAAATGATGTTGATGATGGACAGAATGATGCAGCTTTAGGTTGTTATGACATTAAGGAGTGGCATAACATTCTAGGACACTGTCATTTTCAGGATATGTTAAACCTGGAAAATGTGGTGAAGGGTATGAAATTAAAAGGAAGGCTGATATAACTAGCCTAGACTGAAACACGTATTATGGGTAAATTAAATAAATAAATTTAATAAAGTTTAAATTTGTTTGAATGACAATGACACAAATGACTATTTAAACAAGGAATTGAATGCAACTTGATAAAAGCTAAACATGTTGAGCTACTTGAAGGGGACAATGGACAAACACTTATTGTATGTTATAAGAGAAATGAGGAGAAACTTCAGCTTGTGGCATATAGTGATGCAGATTGGGCAACAGACCAAATGGACAGAAGAAGCAATACAGGCTATTGTTATAGCCTCAACAAAAATGGACCTCTTATTTCATGGAAGTCAAAGAAACAACAAACTGTGGCTTTGTCAACATGTGAACCAGAATTTATGGCATTGACAGCAACAACACAGGAAAGTTTGTATCTTGTACAGTTGTTGAATGGAATGGATGAAGTTTGTAAATACATGCCAGTGACAATATTTGAGGACAATCAAGGAGCAATAGCATTGTCAAAGAGCCCTGTATGTTGTCAAAGATGCAAGCATATTTATACAGTATTAAGTATCATTTTCTTAGATCTGCACTTAATGATGACAAGATAATAGTTTATTGCTCAACACGAGATAAGGTGGCAGACATTTTCACTAAATCTGCTACAAAATTGAAACTTCAAACTTTTATGTGCTATGTGTTTGGTGTGTAAAACAAGGGATTTTAAACAAAAGAAAAATGTGTTGAATCAAATTTGTGTAGTGAAAGAGCAAGCGACGGTGTTAACATATTGACAGATGTGCTCTTCGCTGACTTTATCATCATGGGATTATAGTATAAAATGTAAGATTTGTGCACAGCTGAGATTGATTGACAGACTGATTGAAAGACTGATTGGAATAAAGAGCATGAGGTGGCTTTACCTCAAGGTTCAACCGAATACTAAGTGTGATTTTCTCCGACTTGTCCTGCTCTTAAGAAGACAGCGCCAACAGAATTGATAAACTCAATTGTGGACTCAGCTAATCAAAAAGTTAGCTTTGCTAACCTCTAATTAGCTTACTAAAAAATTTGCTCTGATAATGTTAAACCGCTAAACAGATTTTTTTTTAAAGTGAAAGCTAATGCTAAAGCACTAACTTCTATCATTCACTATGTAATACACTTACTTATACCATGTGTAGGCTGAGCTTAGCCATAAAGTTAGGTGGGAGTTAACTTGAGCCTTGTACTGTTCTCTTTATTAGCATTGCACATGCACCTGCTCATGCACCTGCTCGTGCACCTGCTCATGCACCTGCTCATGCACCTGCTTGTGCACCTGCCAGCTGTGACGACAAATAGATATGGATACTGATTAGGGACATACAGACAGCGTACCATGTACGCACTTTCAGCAATACATTACAGACTGCTGTCGCTGACACTGTAAGACTGTAATGTGGCAACTGTTTTTTGGAAGTTTTTTTTCTTTGTTTACAAAAATGTTTTACATCTTTGAAATAGCAGTTGTTTTGTGAAAATTGCAAGAGTTAAACCCCCAAAATGAAGATAGAATGGATGTGGGTGTGGGGATGAGTGGGGATTATGTATCTCACTAAATCCTTATTCTTACTTATTCTAACTTAAAAATCAGCTTCACAGTTTCATAATTGTGTTGACAAAGAATAATGTCTATAAAAAAGCTTTGTTTGTACAAGGTAGAGAAGTTTTAACATAAACATTTTTTTAATAGAAACAAGACAAGGATAAAAAGTGCATTAGAAGTGTGCATGATAGTTTCCTTTTTAAAAAGAGTGAAGTAACCCAGAGAATGTTTTGCTTTATGACAGGTTGCTGTACGGCACAACCAAAGGGCATAAGGACATGGTTCATCAGGAGCAGGATAATTGCAACAGACAAGGTGAGAGTCTACACACTAACAAATTTCTCACCACATGAAGACAATGCATTGGTTTCCATTCAACCTTTCCGTTTTTGTAGCCTAATCCAAACTTTTCCCTTAATCCAATATCAGTACACAGTGTTTCCCCTACATCACTTGCCTTGGCAGGACTCTCATCTCTTCTGTGATTTTTGTTGATGAGTTAGTATGGTGGAGACCGAGACACGTCTGTGTTGCGCATTGTTTGTGCAGACAGTTTACAACCGGGGGGTTGGGAGTTGGCTCAGCGTGAGGGGAACAGAGCACTACCTAGATTTTTAGCTAGCGCATCTGTATTTCTTGCTGCTAGCTTAGCGCTACGGCAGTGCTGGGGGGTGGGTCAGTTTGGTTCGGTGGGCAGAGCAGAGCAGGGCAGGGCGCTTGGTTCTGTTAACATGGTGGGGTGCCCTATTTTTATAATGGTAGGGGAAACACCGAGTATATGATGTTCGTATTAGTACTCGGCTTTTGTGCCTCTAAGGACTACCGGTATACCAGGAAAGGTCCAAGAAAGGTAACAAAACCCAAGTACATACACATTTTCTTTTTAGTTAGTGCACACCTGAAGTTAAGAGTCATACATTTTTATTTATATTGAAAACTACAAATACTGCTATTTTGTTCACAAGTTCACAAAACACAGATGCAGTGTATTAACAATTTAAGGGTGTAATCCTGGCCTGGCACCTTTCTTTGTGGAGTTTGCATGTTCTGTCTGTGCATGCGTGGGTTTTCTCCAGGTACTCCCGTTTCCTTTCACAGACCAAAAACATGCATGTTAGAATAATTGCTATCTCTAAATTGTCCCTAGGTGTGATCTAGGCAGTGAATGGTTGTCTAATGTGTCTCTATATGTACAGAAGCTCTGTGATAGACTTGCAATCTGTCCAGGGTTGTGTTGGGCTGCCTCTCACACAGTGACTGTGGGGCATGGGCAGTGGCGCCGGATTTTATTTGAAGTGGAGGGGACGTGGGGATCTTTTGTCACCTTGCACAATCTATTCATGCACCTTGAATGTCAGGCGCACATGTTCAATTTTGCCACACAGTGATGTAAATGGGTACTTTCACAGTCATCAGATTTGGAAAATTTTGCAACAAAAGTCTTTATTTTGAAAATGAAAAAAATATAAATATGTGTAACAAACTGCAGTCATGAATAAGGTGTTCTTTTTTCACAGAGTGGTGTAGATAGATATTTCTCTTTTTATGTCATTTAACCGTTTGTGGAGAACTTATGACAAAAGTGACACGAACCAGGGTTTTGGATTCAAAATAGCTAGACACAGGAGTGTAAAAACAAGTACAGTTTTTATTTATTATAGGCTGTGGGTGCAAAGTCAGGATCAGCTGAGTTGACAGTCTTCACAGGCAGATGGAGAGTGAGAGTCACCTGTCAAGACTGCAGCAATGATGTCACTGGTCCTTGGACAAACCTAAGGAGAACCTCAAGATCTTCATTTCTGCCACTTCCAGTTCTTTCTCGTGTCTTTTTGTCAATGCCACTGTCTCCAGACCATACAACATAGCTGGCCTCACCACTGTCTTGTAAACTTTTCCTTTGACCATCCAGATATACACTGAGCACTAAGGTTTGCTAACACTTAGCATGATAAAAATGGCCACAAGTCGTGGGATTAGCTTACTTACCGCCTTTGTTTGACGTCGGATGACCGTAAACTTCTGTGATAAATCCACAATGCCAAATATTATTCCTCAGTATGCAATGAAATACTTTGTATACAGTATAAAGCTTGGAAAAGCACTAGAAGCTAAGGTTGCTTATAGCTACTTAGCTTCTTCGCACGCCAGCGCCAAACTCCAGAAGACGCTAATTAGCTGGAATGAAAGTTCGCCTGTGAGTTCATGGGCTGAATTTTTTACCTCTTCGTGAACTTCTGTTATCACTACACAAATTACAAGGCACAGATCTGTTTTGACCTGGGGGGGTTAGGTTCTTTCTCTCCAGTCAGCACACATACCGACAGATTGTAGAGACTGCTGCGCTCGGGCTGACAGTTTATTATAAAGCGGGAGATAACCAGATATTTTTGCTTGGGCATTTGAGCAGATGACCTAACTGCGCAGCATAGACTTCCTTGTACGCAGAGAATATGCGGACAGTGCGCGTATGCACAGGCGCACAGTTTAGAGGGAACATTGGGTGTAGACTGTGTAAATGTCTGGGACCAGCTAATGGGCAGGGCCATAAGGTGGGGGGAGGGGCAATTGCCCCCTCTGTTCCAGTGCCACTGGGCTTGGGCACCAGCGAAGGGAAGAAGCGAGTAAAGATAATGGATGACTGAATGTTTCAGTTTTAGATTCACAGATTTGAACTGAGAGAAATGCTGAGGGGATTTAAACAGTGTCAATAAAACAAGCAGTCATATGATTAAATCAAACAAAGCAGATGGAGATGGAAGAGTCTGATCAATTGTTACCCCAAAGCCGCAAGTACTAGCAATTATACAAAATTATCCAATATCTGCATGTATAAAACTGTCTAATAAACTTGTAAAGGTTTGAACAAAATAATATTGAGGAAAAAAAATCTGCAGCAAACAGGTAGTTAAATTTAAATAGCAACAAGTTACATTTTAAAGGCTTTGTTGTTGCTCAAGATGATGCAATCAAATTTTAGTAATTGATCCTACTTGTTTCTTTCAGAGTAAATGTGATGTTTGCTTTTTTTTCTGTTTCATGTATGAAATCTGTTCTTGCAATATTTATTCATAAAATATAAACTATAGTGTTTTAAATGTCATACTTAATAAGTCAGAACTGCCAATAGTTTGGCAAAAGACAGCATGTAAAAATTATTAGTAGTCTAATGACACAGTGAAAGATATTACAAATTATAAAGAAAAAAGAATAGAAAAAAATTCTGCTAAAAATGCAGTAGCACAGTTGTTCTCCAGCTCCAATTACAGCAGCATCAATATTTAAGAAATGAAAAAATATATAATTACTCTGCCATGTTATCGCCTTGCTAATTGAAGCTCATTTAAAATTAATATAACTTTTAATTGAACACCAGCACTACGTATTGCTTGTTGTGTCATTCAGCACAGAAAGATTTTACAATTTCCCTTTTTATATGGTGACTGAAGATGTAGGTGTGCATACAGACAATTTTTACCAGCAATTTACTTCCAATTTATTTATCTTCGTTTTTAAATCCATTTTGTTAGATTTTTTTCCTGCAGTGTTCCGAGTTTACCCAGTTCAGGGTGATTTGGTTGTTACTCCACTTTTTGTATAATTGTCTTAATTTAAAATAAAAAGGAATTTAAACTAAAATATTTTAATGTGATGAAACTCAGACATGCAGCAGCAAAAGTCCAAAAACTATCATTATATTCCTAATCTGATTTTTAGCATAAAGTAAGTGAAAGCAAACTGAAGAGAAAAACAAGCTTTAATGTATGTATGTGTGTGTGTGCATATATATATATATATAATGTGTGTATATATATATATATATATATATATATATATATATATATATATATATTCATTCAACCTTTATTTAGACAGATAAATCACATTGAGCCTCTAAGACTCATTTATAAGTGAGACCTGTTTCAACAGACAAGATAAGAATTGAAACTGGACACATACGAATTGGAGACAAAAAAAATCCCATCAAACTATTTCTTCTTGGCTGAGAAGAAAGACAATAAATAAATAAATAAATAAATATTAGAATAAATAAAAATTTAAAAAAATGTAGAAACGTTTCATCTTTCATCCGAAAGACTTCTTCAGTCTGAGGTGCTGTATTCTGCTCAGTCTTATAAATAGCACCTTCTTGTAGTGGATCGACCACTTTGCTGCTGACAACCAAAACCTGCTGCTCACATGATCAAGAAGGACCATCAGCCTAATGATGGATCATTAGCACACTGATGGCTGTTTACTGTTCACAGGGGGCTGAGTGATACTAGCAATAACAGCATTGTAAGAGCGGGATAGTTGAACATGGAGGCCTCCAGTCCTGTTTAATGATGGACGGTTTCTTTTCACAAAGATGGCCTCCTTTACTCCTCCGATTACATGTCATCCAGGCAAATTCAGATAAGGTGGCCTGCAAGGCCAGCCAAGGGAGCCGGATTCAGATAAACACACAATTGTTTTGTGGATGGGCAAATGACATCTACCTTGAGTCTGTGTTGGTCGACTTGGTTCTTAAATGTCCAAAATACATGGCCACACCAATGGAACATGTCTGAGAATAATCCCCGAGATCTGATCCATTCTGCCAAAAGCATTTGAGTCTGGGTGCTCGAGGCACGAACCAAGCCATCATAGGGCAAGCAGCATGACCGGATCCAAGATTGCTGCTGACAACTTCCTTGATTATTGATAAAACAGGAACCAGTCAAATCCAAAAAGCAGCAACCAGTTATCATAAATCCAATTATAAATGGGTCCTTAAAATCCACAAATGGCAGCAGAGACACATCATCAAGTCTTACAAGTTGATGAGATATCCAGCTGCGTGTGTGCTAACAGGGCAAATCGGCTCGCCTAAAGTCTGTCTTGTTTTCGAAGAAATTATATCAATTGTGTTGAGGGACCAACTGATGAAATCAAGTCCATCAATATTTTATATATATATATATATATATATATAT